AGTCAACCGATTAGGTCAGGAAGTCTCTCTAGATTATTGGTACCTGTCCCAAGGTGATGTCCTCACAAAGCTTGACACACTCATCAGCCACTTGTCTTTTTTTTTTTTTGTAATCGTCACCCGGGGGCGACATGCCAGCTCGAGGTGTTTATCATAGCATCACAAACACCACTAGTTTATTTGAAACCATGTAATTTGGGTGACAAATCAGCTCCACTGGCAGCAAGAGTGAGCCACTGCCACAGGTGTTGCTTTTGAGGGAGTTGATCTGACATGAGTAATGAGTAAGTCCTGGCTGAGCCCTCGCTCGGCCCCTGTGGTTAAAACCAACCTAATGGATCCGAGTGACAACCGACACAGTCCCCGACAGTAGCCAAGATCCTCCTCTCGCTGTGTGACTGATCTTGGCCACTGCAGATGTCATGTCGGCCACGGGCAGAGGGTGGCAGTAGATCCCCACCTCTCGAGCATCAGATTAGACCAGTGAGTCATGCTTGCCCGCCTATTTGTCTTCTCTGCCTGCTCACTCGACCCTCATGGCAGCTACTTTGCAAAGACTTTTCTTTTTTTTTTGCTCTATTTTTTCTATCTATTCTCCATCTTTTCCCTCTGTCTCTGTTCTTGTGATATTTGCTGAGAGATTACACCCCGTCTTACTGGCTCGCTCCATCTTCCCGTTCCTCTATCTGGGCGCGTTGATCTGTCCTCCTTCGCCTCTCTCTCGTCTCGCCTCCTCCGGCTGATAATTAGCCAGTAAATGCTGAGCCATTTTCCTCTGCTCCTGCCACATTCTCGCTCGTGCACTTTATTTACTCGGGCAGGCCACAAAATGACCTTGTTACAGTGTGAATTTGTGTAGGCTGGTGTGCGTGCATGTGTGTATGTAGCCGCGTGCAGGCATGCATGCTCCCCCCTCGCACTTACTCACTGCCCCCCCCCCCCTCCGTCTCTCTCCCTCCTGCTCCCTATGTCTCTGTATCTCTCCCACTCAGCTCAGTGATTAGTATGTGATGTATTTTGGCTGCTGTTGTGGGCAGCCTATTTAGCATGTGGGCTGGTCTAATTTCTGTTCTCTGGTGGCAAATGCAATGGCAGTCTGATTTGTTTTCATGGAATAATGAATCTCCCAAAGCGCCTGATACACACCTGGATTTGTGTTTCGCCGTGCACGCTATCAGAAAGGTTCAGCTCAATCTCAGTAACTCAAAAAGGTTTTTTTTTTTTTGGTGATTTTGTTTTTCCACCACACAGCCGCACAAACACCCACACGGCCCGAATTGTGCTGGAAAACATGGCTCAGACCTGCATCTCTCACTTTGAGGACTTTAGCTCGAGCACAGCCTACATATGAACTGCAGTTTGAGTGATGATGAGGCCATTTAATGCACATGTGGGTGGCAACATGTGTAGGGCGATCGATTTCTCAGTCTCTTGCAAGCGGCCTACTTAAAGGCTCTGGGTTTGGATGCCTCCTCCATCTCAGTCACATTATACCCCCAATCTGTCTTTTCGCTTGGAAGGGCTCAGGCACATAGAATTACAAACATAGACTGGGTTGAGTTTGCCTTTGCCAGTGGTCTTCTTCAGTGGAAACCAATGCTGTGGTTAAATATAGACGAACAGGGGTGTCAGAATCCTCATACAGACCAGTAAACCCAGTGCTTAAAAGCCTATGAATAACACCACCTCCGAACGTTCCCCTGCCTTTCAGTGTAAAGAAGCACATTCATTCATTTACAAACCAGATGATGAACAGCTTGAGTTCAATTTAAAGATATACTACGCAGCATTGTCGGTGAATGTTTGTAAATACGCTCACAAGCGAAGGTGATTCACTCACTTTTGGCATTTCGCCTCGCTGTATTTTGCTTTTTTTTTTTTTTTTATATCGTCGTGGATTCCTGCTGCTCACGGTCTGGCACCTGGTTGCTACCTTTTTATAAAGCTCTGACCTCACCTGAGCGCTGTGGAGGTACATGCCTACAAACGCCTGGAGCGCAGAAAATAAGAAGAGAACAACAAAACAGCAAAAACAGAGGCAGAGGGCAGAGTCTCTGCAGAAAAATACACCACCACACACTTCTAGAGGGTCATAAGTGACAATTGAGAGGAATTACTTGTGTGTGAGTTTATGTATTGATTTTTAGGAAATGTCGTGCATGGTGTATCTGAAGACAATATGTCTCAGTTTGTCAGTCTAGAGTGTACTGTCATTACATGTGCACTTTTCCATACATTTTCACTCCTGTGTAGTCGTGCTGGCATATCCACACTACACTAACTAAATTGGATATTGAGATATTGAGGAAACGGGTTAAGTTTTCCCCTAAACTACAGTTTTGCCTTAGCAGTGGGGTTCAACCACTATTGCTTTAAAGGTCCAGTGTGTTGGATTTAGAGGCATAACTATGCTCTCATTGCTTTGTATCACTTGAAAATAGGGCTGCAACGATTAGTTGACTAATCGACTATTAAAATAATTGGTGACTATTTTAGTAGTCGACTAATTTTTCATAGAAAAGTACTATTAAAGTACCCCAAATACTCGTATTGCAGCTTCTTATGTTCAAATATTGGCAGCTTTACACACTCTCCCATGACGGTGAACAAAAAGCCTTTGCCGTGAGTACGAAACAAGACAAGAGATGACATAATTTTGGGGTTTAGGACCAACTTTTTTCAACATTTTAACACATTTTTCGATAGAATGATTAGTCGACTATTCAAAGAAATAATCGACAGATTAGTCGACAATGAAAATGACTGTTAGTTGCAGCCCTACTTGAAAATAAGAATTGTTGTGCTTTTGTTACCTTAGACTGAGTCGTTTATATCTACCTACGGAGCGGGCCCTCTTCCACGGAGTCTGCCATTTTTTTCTACAGTAGCCCAGAATGGTAAAATCAAACACTTGCTCTAGCTTGGGCCATTCATGTTCAAGTTTCAGTTCTGCAACCTCACCACTAGATGCCACTAAATCCTACTTACTGGAACTTTGACTTTTAGCCGGTACAGCAGCTGCCTCTAAAAAGTATGTACTTTTGCATGTAGTATGCTCACAATTGGGACAGACTAGTTTGCCAGAGACGGAGATCAACCCAGAGAGTTCTGCTGTTACTTTGTGATGTATGTAGTTTTACTTTAAAGTTATAACTGCTCAGACTGTAGATTCTAATATATTTGCGACAGTTAAATTACATTTGCATTTCTTTGTCAGTTATTTTTATAGTTATGTCCAATAGAGATGCACCGATCCAGCTTTTTCAGTTTCGATACTGATCCCGATGCTGATGCTGTGGCTTTGAGTATCAGCTGATTCCCGATACCAATCCGATACCATGGTTGACCTAAAAAGCTATATACCTTTACATGTAGAAAAGACGAGAGGCATCAGGCATTGATGACTACACAAGATAAAATGAAACAAGATAAAACAGATTAATGCAATGATGAACTATTTATTTTTGACAAAAATAAACAATTGTGCAACAGCAGTTGAAATAGTGTGAAATACCTCCACACAGCAGATTCTCTCCTTCGCTCCATGACGTATGACGTAGCTCGCGTCACAATAGGTTTAAAGGGAAAGGATCGCCTCAGGTGTGGGTTGCATTTTCTGATACCTGATCCATCTATTTTGATGATATCAGGACCGATATTCGATCCAGGTATCGGATCGGTGCATCCCTAATGTCCAGTTGTCGTTTGTAATATTAATGATTATTTCGTTCACTTAAACAATCGATGTTCCTATTATTACTATTGGACTGGTCATCAGTTATTTGAACGCGCTGTCATCCTTCATTGGGACGACCGAGAATTGTCTATCAGCCGTCATCTGTTTTCCGTCTCAGTCGATGTGACGAATCGTCCGCATGCAGAGGATTGTGGGTCAGAACGGCCAGAAAAGCATGCTGGCTTGCACACTGCAAAATTGGACCGCATGTAGTCGAACATCCTGGTATTTTTGGCATACTGCGTTTCACATACTATTCATTGGGACACGCTAAACCTTTTCCTGCATACTATGTAGTATGGTAGTATGGGTACTGGAACGCACAGAGATACAGAAAGCAGCATTTTACATGAAGTACTCACTGTTAAAGTTTCTTCTAAAACTTGGTACCGCTTTAACTTCACAAGTGCATCACTACTAGGTGTGCAAAGTCAACCAGTGGGCCGATTCTGGCCTGCAGGCTGTAGACAGACTTGTACTCTTGTCAACTGTCATTTAATAGGTATAGCTTTGAACATCCGCACATATTCTTCTAAACTGTACCTGCCATAAATTGTGCTTGCTACCTTAGGTAGACAGAGAAATAACATTTAAATGCCAAACATAAATTAGTCTGTGTCTTTAGTTACACTTGTAAAGGTCTCTTGAACAAAGTGCTGCCAGCCAGTTGTTGGGCAGAGAGCTGTGTAATGCTCCAGCAGTCTATCTTTTAACAGGATGTTTGTGATTTAAAGCTGTTTCTCTTGCACTCTGTCTCCCTCTCCCTCCCTTCCCTCCCCTCCCTCCCGGTGCCAATCCCCCAGATAGCAGAATGTCCTCGCTCTGTCCTCCAAACCTTCCCGGCCTGCTGGGACAACTTAGCTCCCTTACTTACTCAGTCACTCAGGGATCACTCTTTTCGTACCTTGCTCTCAGTGCCTTCTGCTGGTGACAGCACACGATCTGCACTGTCACTCTCCTTCCGCCTTAGAATAGATATCTTCCTCTCCGTTTATCCTTTACCTGCTCCTTCACTTCCCATCTTTCTTTCAGTCTATCTGCTCACTCACTCGCCAAAATGCAATGCCAGTCTTTTTTTTGCTCCAACACTCCTCCATCCTGCAGGGGTGTGAATTTTCTGTTTGTTTTCTCCTTAGGGATTTACATGTTTTTTGGACCCTTAAATTAATTTCTTATTGAGTTTCTTCCTTTTGGTGCTTTGTTCACCCAGCTTTGTCCTTTTGTATTTATTGTACTCAACTCCTCTCTTCTTGTGTCCCTCTAGGTGATGCAGGTGGTCAACGCTGACGCCATGGTGGTGAAGCTGAACTCCGGAGAGCTCAAGACCATCCACCTGTCCAGCATCCGGCCCCCCAGAATCGAGGGAGAGGTACAAACAAACCCGTGTGTCTGTCTGCTTATGTGTGTACACAGCTTTGCACAGAGTGAGACGCTTCTTGTGTGAATAAGTGACCGAATGTGGTTATATGTGGGAGAGCTTGCTTCTTGCATGATCGGCCAATTAATCAGAGGCTCCACAGAGACGACTCGTGTCACCGCCGTCTCTGATGTCTTGACAGAGTTGGTTTATTTTCATTTGAAGTCAAACACAAGCTGTTTACATCTCCCCTGCACATATTTCTGAATATTTATCCATCTCTCTCTGTCTCTCTGTCTCATGCCCTCTTCTCCTCCCTCACACATTAGTCCTGCCTCTCTCTAAATGACCGTGGGAATAATTTTGACCACTTGGTGGCGCCCCTGCAGTTGGGGCACATGCAAACACAGTGAGACACTTGCACACACCCAGTGGTTGCAGCACTGCAGAGAGTGAGGCAGATCGATTTTTTTTTTTTTTTCTCCTTCCCTCTCCCCTCTACACTTCCCCTTCTCCTCAGAATCACTTCAAGACTGTGAAAACAAATGTGCACACACACATGCACACACCTAGTTACGACAATGGAGATGCATATTTACCCACACAATAGGCAGTGCTTTATAAAAAAACAATGTGTATGCAGTTACACCTAGACACAGAAGTGCCCTGTGCTCGACTACTGTCTCCCATCACTTACCTCCTCACCCACAGCTCTGATTATTAAAGCATTTACTAGTTGAAGTGAAGCCCATTTCATCACTATGCATTGCTTAATGCATTTCCATGAGCTTAAAGGGACCCCATTATGCTTTTCCTTTTTTTCTGTCATATATATGTAATGTTACAGTGTAAGATCTTTATATTAAATGTTGCTGAAGTGTCAAATACTGACAATAAACAAATGTAAAAGTAATGCCTGTGAGCAAACAAACAAGCAGCTGTGTCTCACACATGCAGCCAGAGAGGTAATGATACAAATAATCTCTAACTGTAGCATAACATGGCTCGCGGTTATTAATACGTTTAACAACAGAGTCAAGCCTTTTAAAAGCTTGGTGTTGGATGTGAGCTGCTGCTGCTAATTAGCTCATGCTAACACTGTGGAGACGGTCCTTCAGTGCTGTGTCTAACCTGTTTACAACTGCAAGAAGTTTGTTTTGCTCCCTAAACAGCCAGCTGCAGTTGTTGCTCTTCTTCTTTTCTGTGTTTATTGGCGGCTTGCAGACAAAGTTTAAAGGTACATGCACCGCCACTCACTGTGTCGGATGTGTAGATGCTGCCCTTATAAAGTGAATGGAAGCAGTCTGGCTTCATATTATCGGTGCTATGTCCCATCATCGGCCTGATATAGATCATGCATCCCTACTATTCTCCATTACGTTCACCCAGCTGCAATGACGGTGCAGAGGTGGAAGACCTGGAAATGCTGTCCAATCAGAGCAGACTGAGCTTTTTAGATGGGGGGCTTTAAGAGAGCATGAGGTGCATCCCAAACAGAGGGTGAATACAGGTGTTCAAGCAAAGACAGTGTAAGAAAAAAAAAAGTGTTAAGTGACCATCAAAGCCCCTTTCCACTGGACAAAACACCCACCAGCACCCATTAACCAGTCCCTCCAGGATCTCGCGACAAAAAAAACTTTTTGTCAAAAATTGCGGTAGAAATTGCAGCATTTATGTTTTTTTTTTTTTTTTTTTTGGGGAAATTGCGGCAAATGACAAAAGGAGAAAAAAAATGGGATTTTTTTTATTTTTTTAAATTAGGCTACTACCTCCAAAAAAAGTCATTTAATCAGTTGCTATAATAATCATACTGAATATTACAAAAATAGCTGCAAATGTTCTTTTATAATTCTCTTCTTTAGTTTTATTTAATTAATTTAACGGCACCGATTGGCAGCGATGGAAATATGAGACCAGGGTGGACACGATAATTTTAGCCGTCTCCGTGCAAGAAGTGCTCAAACATCGTTTCATATTTAGTTGGCACCAAGTTTGAGAGAGAGACTGAAAAACATTTTCATTGTCCTCCATGCTGCTTTCTACTCTTTACTAACCTGTTTTCTGGCCCGTTCATGATGTTAAATGGATTACACTAGTAAAACAAAACAGAGGCATACTACTGCAGAGCCATGTACATGGCTGCGGTCTTCTTACAATGGGAAAGGAGTCTATTGCTTACAAAAAAACCCCTTGCTCAAATGCGCTAATTTTGGTCAAAGAAAGGTATAATAAACATGTTCTACTAGAATCCCAAAGCACAAGCATGAACCTGAAAATCGGCACAATAGGTCCCCTTTAATTTCAGCACCATCTTATTATTTTTCAATAAGAGATTGATTAAATTTATTTCTCATTTACCCTTGGTGTCTGAGTTCTCTGTAATGCTATCATCTTCTAAATAACGGGCTCAAGATGTCTGAAAATGTCGCTCCCATTAATTAGAAAGTTTTAGTGTCACAACAGTAGTGATTTTTCTTTTTTGTCAGAGTTCCATATTTCGAAGGCAACCCTTTTCTATCTTTGTTGAGCGTGTCGGAGGCTGTTTGACAACCATTCCTCCAGTCAACACACTGTTTATTGTAATATCCGTTTATGAGCAAGTCATGTCTCACATTTCCCTGTTCAAAGAGGTATGAGACAGAGGGTGTTGTGCTTCTGTCGAGGAAACAGTTGTAAATGTCAGATTGGGGAATGTCGGCAACAGCCCTTTACTTTTTTTCCCCGTTTTGATTGTTTTTGTTTTTATTGACTCCTCTCTCGGCTTGGTTTTTCGTTTTATGGTTTACTCTTTGCTATCTTTTCCTCTTTACTGTTGTGTAGTTTTTATATCCCAGCCTCTCCCTCCGTCCTCGTCTCCCTCTCTCCCCTGGTGTCGTTAGTGCCTCGCATCATTAAGAGACTGTTTTGTATCTCTCTCCCTGCCTCCCTCCCTCCTTCTGTTCTCTCCTCCTCCTCTTCCCCTCTTCACAGTCACTTTCTCCTGCCGTCCTCTCCCTCCGGGTGTGCACACTGTGGTCAGATTGTTGACCTGTACCGTTGCCCTTCGTGTGTGTTTATTCTCCTTAGCTCTCTGTGGTTGTAACAAGCTTGTGGGCAAAAACATCTCTCCATTTTGTCTCTCTGCCCTTTCTCCTGTTCCTTGCATTACAGAGCTTTCGCTCCCAACTCTTTCCTGACCTGATTCTTTGCTACTTTTGGAGATTCTTTTATTTCTCTTGTATTACTTTCCCTGATTTACTTTCCCACTGTTTCGGCTGCCTTTCCCTCTTTTTATATCACTGTCTTTGTCTCTCTCCTCCTTATTTTTCCATCTCTTCCTGTCGTTCAGTGCCCGTCTGTATTCTGTCTGTCTTTGCCTGCACCAGATGCTTCAACAGTATGCGTTTTGTGCTTCATTACACTGTCGTATGTTGCTGGGTGCCTGGGAGAGTGAGCCCAGATGTGAATGTTTGTGTGCAGTGTATTGGTGTTATATTGGCACAGTGTTGTATTGCTATTTCTTGCACTTCATGCATATTTTAATCGCTCTTGTGTGGTCGCATGTGTGATGTTTCATGTGAATACCAGGCGTATTTGTCAGAATCAGTCAGTCTGAGCAGCAGCTCACTGGGCTAGATGAGTGAAATATGTTGTTGCCTGGTTAAAATATTGCAATGTCACTTATGATAATGTAGTATCTACTTTGAACTTGTACTATCATGTTGAAATGTATGCTTAAAATCTACTAGAAATCTTTAAGGCTGCACTAAGATTTTGCCAAGACTGGGGATCTTGCAGGGTCACTATTTGCAAGACTACAACTAGACTCCTTTTCAGATTGTTTCGCATCCTGCTCCTGGTGCAAAATATTATGCCAAACTCCCTTTAACTGTACGTTCACACCAAAAGCTTCCAAAGAGGTAAAGTCTGTCGTGGACGCCCAAGAAGCAGAAACTGTCAAAAATATTTGTGGCAGCTTTGGTCACTCATCACGTGAATCATTGAACGTTCGATCGTGCTTGTCAATTTAAAGGAGCCACAAAGCGGACTACTGGCTTGAAAGCAGTGTAGTTGCTGCTTTGTTGTTGTCCAGTAAAAAGCTCATAGTTGGCCTACAGAAAGTGAAGTTTGGTCAATGAAAACAGAAAACATATGCCATCCCATTCAAACCAAGCAAGCAAGACTTGCATGCTACGGCACAACGTTAGCCTGCAATTCTCTCCTCTATTACTAACATTACACATTTCAAAAATCACCAGACCAACCAACTACCTCCGCGACGCGGTCCCAAGCCTCAATCTTTTTATTTTGGTCTCTGTAACTGAAGAATGACACATTATAAAGGACTAAGTGTGCACGAAAGCAAGTAATAGACTTCTCAATATCCATTGTCGGAACAAGTGTGCTGTAGGAACCAAAGTTACATGGCTTGTTCTCTGGGACCCGCTTCATCGAAGCATGTCAGCTTTCCGATTGGTTCATAGCTCATTACCATAAAGTTGAACGAGTTTTAACTCCCCTCCAGAGCCGCTCCGATTGCTTTGGTCGCCCAAGACGCATGGCAGACGACCAGGTCGCCCAAGTTGCCGGGCTCTCATTGAAAACTAATGACTTCCACTGCTTTAGAAGCTCTGGTTGCTGTTGGTGTGAACATAGTTAGAAATACGACGTAATAACAGTTCCTTGTGTTTTCCCAAGAACACATAACTCTAGAAACACAAGATAAAAGGCGTCATATGTCGACCGGTTTCTTGTTAATTTGGCATCAATATAATCCATAAAGAAACAGTATTTATGATCAAACCTTACATTTTGGATTTTGTCACCTCAACCAGCTTCCGTTTTAAATCAAGATTTCTCACTAACTGGGCTGTTGTTTCTTCACAACTCCACCAGTTTCTCCTCCTTTTCCACAGTACATCAGGATTCATACTTGTTCTCGTGCCTCCCTGGTGTCCCCTCCATGTTTACCATCTACCCAGTTTGCTGCTTTGTGTTTGGTGCTGGAGTGAGAGCAGTTACTGATTTTTGAC